TTCTTCGCCATCTCGAAATTCATGCAACCCATCCAGCCTCGTTGTTGCATGCTTTGTAAACTAGCTATCAATCCATCAGAGTCTTAATACACTTATTTTCCTGTTCCAACTCAGACTTTTTGTCTTTGCTCTTGCCCAGATTCCTCACACAAGACAACCAGGAACAGAGCGACACAGCACCTACTGAAAAGCCTGTAGAAACAGAAATTCCTTGTGCGAGTTTGAGCCTCAGCGTTGCTCATTTGATTGTGTTTGATTGTAACTTTGTTTTACTGCTGCATGGAGCAGCACTTTAGTGGAACTGTGACCGGCGTTTCTTAGAGAAAAGAAAGGAGAACAAGTGTGTAGACCGTGGTTGTGGTAGTCTGTTTGTCATTGTTAAGTTTAGACTTTCTTGAAAAGAGGCTAGGCTCCTGAACTGTTAGCTACTGTTTGTATTGATTTGGTACAGATGCCCCAACCCTGCCAGTTTTTTCATTATGAACTGAGAAATATACAGAAGATTCGTTCAAAGACACATGCACCTTCTCTCCAAAACCCCCTTACCCTCTGGAGTACAGTGACCTTATTGAGGTGAAGGCGCATTTCTGGTGCATTTCTTATGCACATATTTTCAGTTTTTGGTTACCTATGGAATCCCAATGTGTTTCAAACTCTCTAAGAAGAATAATGTGAAAAATAAAAAAGGGATTTGATTAGAGGTCTCAATAATGTGAGGTATTAAATGGACCTCCAGTTACTATCTGAATGTAGAGCAGCTCCACATTGCTACTTTTTATCTTTTAAACATCCTGAACAGATATCATTGTGCCAATTTTCAAACAAAAGCCAGAAAACAAAAAAATACGTTTTGTAACATTTTTATAATTGAGATGACATTGTTAGCTATTATTTCATGTTTGAAATTGTAAATAAGAAGTATTACTATTTAAAAATGTTTGAAATGTCTCATTTTATAAAATATACATTATATTAATATTTGTTTAGCTGAATTTAAAACAAACAAACAAAAAAACAACTAAAGTGTTATGTATGAGATTTGAATAAAAATTTGTTAATGTTAAAGGACTGTTTGATTCATTTTTCTTTGCATTCCTTTATCTGCTTTCTGGATGTTACCACAGAAGGATTCCTGTGGTTGCATTAAAGTTCCAGTTCATTTCATCTTTACACAGTCCTTATACCTCATAATCTAGATTATTTCTTGTCATCTTAAATGAGATTAAGGTTTTTAAATCAAATCTGTGCCTTATATCAAATAACGTACCACATGTAGCAGTCTATTCCAATAGGTACTGTATTAGGAGGTTTTGTATTATCTTTAGGAAACCTTTTATGTCTACTTTGGGTCTGTGTCTAACAAAGGTGGATTGGTATAGCTTGTTTGCACTAGTTCTAACTTTAACAGTGTGTTTTATTTATCCATTTTTACTACCTATCCCACTTTGCATATGTGGCTCTTGTATTTTAAGTTGATTATTTCAGTTTTTTATTTGATTTATGTTCTGACTTATAGACATTGTCAGTATTATTTGAAATGTAATTGTTTCTTGATCTTTCTATTATTCTTTTTGAAAAGCATTTTTTTTATGTAGGTTATTTAAATTAAAGTGCCTTCTAAGCAGAGGTATTGACTAGCTAATGATATTTGATTTACTATTTAAAATGATGTAATAAGAGAGAACAGAATATAAAGTTCATGCAAAATCTGGTATTTTAAATACTAAAATAATAACAGAAAAAAAGATTAGGCAACAAGATACTGTTTCCATATTTTTTCTTCCTTTATAAACCAAGTCATACACAACAAAATACCGGTATACATGTTAAAAACTGTGAAGTAGCTCCATTGAAAATATCTGTTTCAAGGTCATGTTTGGAACATTTTCTCTCTCTGGACATGCCCAAGTTTTCATCTCCTGGTCCTTCCATAACATTATGGAACATGGTGACAGCAGGAAATAAACAAAGGGGACCTGTCCTGTTGTTACACAAGCAACAGGCATGATAAAACCCCCTCTGTTTTCCAGTCCTGAAGCCGACATAAGAAGACAGTGTTTTAGAAAGATATTTTTTGTTTTAGATATTTAAGGTTGGTTCTAATTTTATTAGAAAACATTATACTGACTCTAAAACAATCATATGTTTCACCCTCTTTAGATATTTTCCCCATAGATGTCTGTCAGCAAGCATTCTCTTCATTGGAAGATGCAAAAAATATATTGTAGATGACGTTATCCTTATTGACTGCTGTCTTCAACAGGTTTCAGTCCTGGACCAATCCCCGCCTCAGTCCAAACAGGTTAGCCATTTCTCAAACAAAAACAACTTAATTAATTCACTATCCTTGTCCTCATGATTTTTACACACAGACATCATGGAGCAAGTTGCATTTAACATGAGTTATTAGGATCAGTGGTTAAATGCAGATGAAGATTGTCAGTTTTGTCTTGTTTTTTTTTTACCCCATATTTTAAGTCACCATTTCCATCTCAGTTTATGTATATGTGTGCAGTGGTCTTGTACTCTTGATTTAGTGAAAGATGTTCAAATGTGTGAGTAAGGAAGGGCACAAAATTGTGTTAGTCTAATTCTGTTACAGAAAGCACAGCAAGAGGCTTTAATAAAAGTGAAATTACTTTAATTGTTACCTTACTCTCCAGCAAAGTTTCCATGGGATCTAATGACATTTTTTCCGATTGTTAGGCATAATTACTGACCATGCAAAGAGAAAGAACAGAATAGCGGTGTTTACTTATTGATGTCAAGCCTGAGGTGAGGACACTGCTTATAGAAAGAGGTTAAGTGGCCTGGATCATAATATCGTCTCCTGCCTCGGATACTATCTCTGCCTGATAAGATAGCTGACACATTTATATCTCCGCCTCCTCACTCTCGCTCTGTTGCACACCACAGGTGAAGAGGATAGAGTTGCACTGACCTCCTTTGATACAACTTCACAAAGTATTGTTGTCCAAGCCAGTTTTTACCTCTTCCTGTTCCATGTCTTCCACCTCCTTTTAGCTCACTAGCCTGTTTAGAGAGCTCATACTTTGGATTTGATTGTTTTTTTCTCCTCTACTAACTGGTTTGATTTTGTCAATTTTTCTTGCTGTAGCTTAGCCTCTGAAAGGGTTGGTTTGCTTATATCTACTGTAGCACTACTTACAGTTTGAGGACAGACAGCAAAATCTGCCCAAGTTACTTCTTAAAACAGGTAGTATCTGATTTCTCTATGCAACTGTAGTAGGAGTTCAAAATATTGTGTTAAATTCTGCTTTGCACAACTCCTTTCAAAGTTATTAATATTCTTTGTGCGTCATCTTATTTGATGCATTACAAACTCCCCCTTCAAAATATTTTATTCGAATATTATGTGATGGAGTTGACTAACATAAATAAGAGCCAATTGTGAGTTAAGAGGACAAATATATTTTAAAAATAATAAAAACTTTCCTGTATTTTGCTTCTTTGATTTTTCCATTAAATTTGACCATCCTCCAAAGTCAAAAGCATGGTACTGGTGCTATTTTTTTTTTTTTAACACTAGGTAGAAAAAGCCATTGTGTTTTACAGAAATGTGCTTTGTCAGCTTTCTGACTAGCATCATTCTATATGAACGCCATGTTTTCTTTCACCAGAGCTCCTATCACATGTTTGTTGGCTCTCCTATACCTGGCCTGTTTTTGACTGCATAAAGTGATTTCTCTAAGCACTTTCCTAACAATAGATTGTGTTTAAGCAATATTCCAATTGACTGGCATGTTTTAGTAGTTTTGTAGGTTTGTCATACATACTCTTTCCATTTTCTGATTTTTCATGGAATAGTACTTTAATGTTTGGGATAGTGTTTTGCAACCTAAACCTGTTTGAAATTGTCTTTAACTTCAACTTTTTAATGAACCTTTAATGAATATTTAATGAAATATCAGCTGTGCTGCTGCCATCAACACCTTTGTTTACAGATGTTGGAGATTGGCCTGTTTTTCAGTGTAGTCCTGTTTCTCTGACTCTGACTAGCTGGATGTGTGCTCTCCTCATCCTCTGACATTGGAGTTGGGTTGGAGCTCGTCTGCCTGGCTGTGTGTTTCCTGGACAGGGCCACATTTTACAGTTGCCTTTTGTATTTCTGCTTCTTTCTGTATGTCTGCTTCTTTTTAATTGAACCCCAGTCGGCCTTGGCATATGGCCGCTCACACTGAGTCTGATGCTGCTGGAGGTTTCTTCCTGTTAAAGGTAGTTTTTCCTCTCCACTGTCGCTACGAGCATGCTTATTGTGAGGGATTGCCTTCGAGTCAATGAGTTGATGCAGTCAACTGGTTTTCCTTAGATAGAAAACTTTAAATCAATTTGACTATAAGATCTGGTGGAATTGTAAAATTCCTTGAGATGACATGTGTTGTGAATTGGCACTCTATAAATAAATGGAATTTAATTAATTATAGGCATACCTGTAGTTTATTAGCTGAGTTCCTTATTATGGTTTCTCCTTATAAATTACATCCACCTAATACATTGTAATCTGTTTGGCGATTTCTCAGGGCACTTTATTGCTCTTAGTTTTCTTTAAAGATATATAACAAAGCGATAAATAAAAACACATTGAGTATTTTTTTAAATGCTTATTTTTAAATCTTACAACATTCTCCTCCTACAGCCTCTCAATTATGCCCTAATTTGTTTTGTTCTATTTCTGATGGCGTAATATATCTAAATCCCAATTAATTGTAAAAAGGTTGAATGAGGTGCCAAATAAATCTGACCTAGATATTCCTGCATAGTTAAGCTGTTGGTTAGGAAAACAGGATAAACCAACATAACTACCAACCACAACAACGGCAAACACTTCTTGTTTGGGTTCACTGTTTTTGGTCTCCAATTAAAGCTCTTGTGTAGAGCGCATTTCATTTCCGACCCCTGCTTGGCTTTCATGAAACTAAACTCCAGGGCTGATAAATAATACATACCCTGTGCGGTGCTGGCTGATCACTGGAGCTTTGTCAGCTGTATAAGTGGTGAAAGGCGACATAATCTTCCCACATTAAGATCTGGACTGAGATTGAGACACATATTAAGGGCCTGGAGACGCACTCAGTTGGAAGACAACTTAAGTTTCCTAGAAGCAGCATGTTAAATCCCCAGCAGCAAGGTGAGCTCCTCCTGCATGATCACCCTCCAGTATTTGGGAAGCCGTGGTACTGGCAGCGCAGCAGCAGCACCATGGAGAGCACCCGCAGCCTGGCACTGGTCATAATGGAGATGCGCGACGAGATCAAGAAGCTGGAGGAGGAGAACCGAGAGCTGCGAGGGGAATGTGGTCAGCATTCAGCAACAGGAGGACAAGCCAGCAAGGAGTCCATCCCTGTAATTGAGCAAAAGGAAATGTTGGAAAATCCTTATGGCAACCTGAGAAGGAATACGTCTGCGCCCGTCCTAGAGGGACAATACAAGGGTAGGGGCTTTAAGTTTTAGGCAAAAGTGCTTTGCAAACATCCAAAGTTTGGTTCTTTGAATTTTAATAGTGCATTAGAATATCTTAAATACTAGTTTTAGTATTTATTCTTTCATTTACCTCCCGATGTATGCAGGCAGACACAAAAATCAATTTAGGTTTGGCCATATCCTGGGCCATTCTTAGCTATGCATATGATTTGATCTTGAATATTTCCCAGTAGCTCTAGCTAAGTGTATCTCTTGTCTGAAGGAGAAGTTTTCACAGCTTCAAGCCATTAACAGGTTTCCACCCCTATTTGGATGCAGCTGTGTGTAAAATTTTCATTTATTCCCCTTTTCAGCAAAAGTGTAAAGTAAAAGTGTTATCGATCCAGAGTGTATTTCACAAGAAAATGTCTAATGGCTTTGTTACAACCGCATCTTTTTCCTCTTCACATGCTTCCATAATTACTCAATAGGTGAAGAGCAGACTTAAAAGTGCTTAAAAGTGAACTGTAAATCTCTGCAGATACACTATATTGCCAAAAGTATTTGCTCACCTGCCTTGACTCACATATGAGCTTAAGTGACATCCCGTTCCTAATCCATAGGGTTCAATATGACGTCGGTCCACCCTTTGCAGCTAGAACAGCTTCAACTCTTCTGGGAAGGCTGTCCACAAGGTTTAGGAGTGTGTTTATGGGAATTTTTGACCATTCTTCCAGAAGCGCATTTGTGAGGTCGCACACTGATGTTGGACGAGAAGGCCTGGCTCTCAGTCTCCGCTCTAATTCATCCCAAAGGTGTTCTATCGGGTTGAGGTCAGGACTCTGTGCAGGCCAGTCAAGTTCATCCACACCAGACTCTGTCATCCATGTCTTTATGGACCTTGCTTTGTGCACTGGTGCACAGTCATGTTGGAAGAGGAAGGGGCCAGCTCCAAACTGTTCCCACAAAGTTGGGAGCATGGAATTGTCCAAAATGTCTTGGTATGCTGAAGCATTCAGAGTTCCTTTCACTGGAACTAAGGGGCCAAGCCCAGCTCCTGAAAAACAACCCCACACCATAATCCCCCCTCCACCAAACTTTACACTTGGCACAATGCAGTCAGACAAGTACCGTTCTCCTGGCAACCGCCAAACCCAGACCCGTCCATCAGATTGCCAGATGGAGAAGCGCGATTCGTCACTCCAGAGAACGCGTCTCCACTGCTCTAGAGTCCAGTGGCGGCGTGCTTTACACCACCGCATCCGACGCTTTGCATTGCACTTGGTGATGTATGGCTTGGATGCAGCTGCTCGCCCATGGAAACCCATTCCATGAAGCTCTCTGCGCACTGTTCTTGAGCTACATGAAGTTTGGAGGTCTGTAGTGATTGACTCTGCAGAAAGTTGGCGACCTCTTCGCACTATGCGCGTCAGCATCCGCTGACCCCGCTCCGTCAGTTTACGTGGCCTACCACTTCGTGGCTGAGTTGCTGTCGTTCCCAAACACTTCCATTTTCTTATAATACAGCTGACAGTTGACTGTGGAATATTTAGGAGCGAGGAAATTTCACGACTGGATTTGTTGCACAGGTGGCATCCTATCACAGTTCCACGCTGGAATTCACTGAGCTCCTGAGAGCGACCCATTCTTTCACAAATGTTTGTAAAAACAGTCTGCATGCCTAGGTGCTTGAATTTATACACCTGTGGCCATGGAAGTGATTGGAACACCTGATTCCAATAATTTGGATGGGTGAGCAAATACTTTTGGCAATATAGTGTATTTCAGTGTAATCAATGTCATGTTGGGATATTTTTAACCACCAAAAATCTGTTAGAGTAATTTTACCTCAGATTTATTTATCTTACAAAGATGGTAATAGTCCCAATGTCTTTAAAACAATAAAAAATATTGACACATGGCTGTATAACTATTGGTTTGAAGTAGAAAAAAAATAAAATAAAAAAGTGCTTACCGCAATAGTTACCTTTTCTTCTTGTTTTTTTCTTTGCTACAAGAAAATACTGCCATGACTGTAAGAAGGTACTCCACAACCTCCAAACCCCCTGAACTGACAGAAAGAGATCGTAGAATTGACAAGAGCCTACAAAGTAACTCAGGTTGGGACAGACTACATGAAGACGTGTTTGGAGAAGAAGAGGATACCAACAGCCAGCACTCTCTGAAGGATTTCATCCATAAAAACAGGTACAAAGCCCATCCGCAAGAGTTGCATGAAAAGCCACAACCATGTTGTGGCTACATTGAAATGATTCTTGTGATTTTTCTTTTCTTTTAGAGCCAAAGTAAAGACTGTGACCTTCCTTCTGCCAGTTGATGATATTTACACCAGCCGGCCTGTTCTGACCAAACACCAAGAGGAGTCCAAATTCACTGGCCTGGCTTCAATAGCCGAGACAGATTCTTGAAAAACACTTAAAAATCTTGGGACGCATCACTGGTAGAGGTTGAAAGTACAAACTGGAACTCTGCAGCCTCATTTTTTTTCTTGCCCTCCTTAACTAGGTCACTTTAGATTGGGCTCCTAATGAGTAAGTAAGCAAACCGATTTTTATCACACCTGACCAAGAAACTGGAGTCTCTGATTACAGGTGTTATTTTCATTTGGCCATGGCAATCTATGCCTAGTCAACAGTGATGAGACACGGGCCCCACTGCAGAAAGGATCAGGTTTCCAGACTCCTCTCCCGGCCTGGGCTGTGGTTTCAGGGTGACACGTGTGGCAGTCCTTTCAGACTCAGCTTTGGTTGCTAACTCAGGCCATGCAAGCAATGTCCCATTTTTTATTTATTTATTCCTTTTTTTTTTTACAAAGTAAACTTAAAACATATAGCCAAGCTAAACTGTAACTCCTATATTTCATTGTTCCTGAAGATTTGCTATAACCCACCTAAATTTGAAAGGCTTAAACGCAGCAGCAAATTGTGTCCATGATCAGGAAGCTTTTTCAAAAATAACTCACACATATTATCAAAATTTTACTGTTTAAAAGCTAAAAATAAAATATAAAATGATTGGTTTCCTTAAGAAAAATTGAGCCACATGTTTTTTTTTCTAAATCAGAATATTTTTGTTGTTGGTATAAATAAAGATTTTTAATGTTCCTTAATGCGTACTGTATGTCTTTCACTGAAATTAGAACTTTACAAAGTATTTAGATTCTAGTTGTTTAAAAAACAAGAGGTTTATATTAGGCTCAAACCTGAACATATTACTATGTGATTTTTGTAGGATATAGTCTTCTATTATAAGACACAACAGTTTGTGATATCAAAGAAATTCTGCTTTGGTTTAAAGACATTTTCTATATCTAAAGGAATATACACTATAAATTCTGTTGGAATATTTGCTAGAATGTTTGGTGAATAACCTTGGAGTAAATATATCATCACATCTAATTAAAAAAATAGTACAAGTTGGCCTAGTCAAGTTTCTTGTTACGGCCAAAATCACATTTAATTTCCAGTTATTGCATTTTCCATGTTTGAAATTTCAGTGTTTAGATTTTCAGTGTCTTAATTTTCAGTACCAGGACTAACATTCAGTATCAATCCAAGCTGTCACTGATTTATCCATTTTTATTTGCAAAGTATTTAGATAACCATGTATCTTTGTCCCCCAAATTATTATTTTTTGTCTAATAGATAAAGCCCACCAAAATATGTTGTTGTAATAGGACAAAATGTTCTTCAGATTTAGAACTGACTTTGCATTGGCATTGTATGATTGGACCTGTTCTGATTACTTGCTTCAGTAAGACCATATGTAAAATGGACTTTACTAAATCCAGCCACCTTACGGTGGCTTTGGCACGGCTTTGGCATTTCATCAATCATTCTAAAAAAAGGATTTTTTAGAGGTTGATTCAGGGCAGGCTTTTAAAAGCTGTTGCGTCACTTTTTTCCCCATCAAAAGACTATATTTTAAAATAGACCCCCCCCCCCAAAAAAAATAAATAAATAAAATTAATTAATTAATTAATAAATAAACAACAAACAAATAGATAATTTTCATTTTATTTAAATAATCTGATGGAAACGTTAAATCCTGTATTTTTTACAGAAAACAGGGACTGGATCAATGACCAACCTCAATACCAAAGAAAACAAAAAGAAAAAGGTAAATATTGTTTCATCTGACTTAGGTTAACTTTTACCAAATATTATTAAAGAGTGAAACAAAATCATTTTAGATTGTTTGTGAATAGAAAATGAATGTATTTTATTATTCATCAGTAAACAAAATTGGGTGCTCCATAAAAAAATTAAAAGGCTAATTTAGAAATACACAAAGATAGGAAAAAAGGTATTTAAAAAGAAAACATAAGAATAGGAGACTGTAGAAGGAAAAAAAAAAACTGTGTCACTCTGAATGACCTCTATTGTCATTAACAAAACAACTTTGAGATAACCCTAAACATGCTCATTTCACTCAATATTTCCAAAAAGAAAATACATATTGTTCAGCAAGATTTTAACATTATAAAGTGTAATTTGTTTAAGATTGGCCTGATAACACCCTTCAGTTTGCAAAAAAAAAAAAAAAATCTTGAACCAAACTCACTTGACTTTTTAACCTTTTGTCCAAATAACTAGAAGTAGGGCTGCAACTAACGATTATTTAGCAAATCGATTAATCTGTTGATTATTTTTTCGATTGATCAATTAATAATGATTAATTAAAGAAGACTTTGAGCGAAACTTAACCAGGTGAAACTTAAAGTTTTCCACGTCAGTTCTGGATAGAGTATAATGACAGATGAAAAGTTTTTGATCTTAAATGCAAAATGTTTTTTTTTTTTTTTTTTTTTTTACAATTTTGGTACAAATGCTGCGAAAGGTGGTTTTCTCTGTCAACTAAAGACATGTTTTAAAGTCTCTATACTCCATCTAACGATTGATTACTAAATTAGTTGATTATTTCATTAATCGATAAATCCGATTAATTGTTTCAGCCTTAATGAAAGGAATCGTTTTTTTTAAAAAGCATAATCCTAAAAGCTTTTATAAAGAGTTGTAGTTGTAAGTTTTTTTTAAATCTGGGTCACTAGGAAGGATTTTTATATTATTTTTGAAAACTTAGCATTTGTCTAGGAAAATTGAAAATGCAGATTCTTTAATCTCCTAAAGAGATTTTTTTTTTTTTTTTGGCACAACTCTGAAAACCAAGAACTTCTTGAAATGTCTTAATTTGTCAAGAAATAACTTAATATTCTGAAAATTTTTAAAACACTGCTATTATGTCTCCTCTCTTCCTGAGAAGTCAGAACTGTCTTCCATCAAATGAATGAGTCAAAAGAGTACCAGTAAATCAGAACTGAAATGAAAACTAGTTATACCCTCTGCTGGTCAGAGGTGGAAGTTAAGGAAGATGCCAGAGGAATAAACTCCTCTCAACAGTAATTCTAGATTTTAAATCAACGGTCCACTGAAAAAAAAAAAAAAAAAAAAAAAAAAAAACAATCAATCAAATTTGCTTTAAAAAAAAGTGAAAAGGCTGAAACAAATACAAAACAAAATTGATAAAGTAAAAAAATACACAAAAACGAATCATGTGATAATGGTATATGGTGTGCTAAATCAGAGCTTATGTTTGGTACTGATGTTAAACCCAAGTAAACTCTCTTCTGTTTAGAAATCCAGGGGAATGTGTTGCAAACAGCCATTTGTCTAAATTTAAAAATGTCTCACTTTTAAGTGTTTAAACACGAAAGCAACATGTGCATCAATATACTGGTTAAATAGTACTTTGTTTGTCACTGATAAATGAGATAAGACCCAACAGAACAGCCAGTAAACTGTTAATACCATTAACTGTTTTACAGTGCATCAATGGCAGCCACATCAAAAATGTATCTAAGGGCTACATGAAAGCTTATAATTTTCCCTGTTAGACGATTCTGTTCTGGAACTGTCTAGTTTCATTTTTGACTAAGAGCTATGTAACAATTAAAGGCACCAATGATACCATAAACAAAATTGAAAGCAATGGCTGTGTGTGCACTGTTTAATAATAAAGCAGCATTATGAGGTAGGGTAAGAGGTGAGATTTAGGTCCGTAAAGAGGCCTGCAGAGCTTTCATGTCCTTTAGCAGCCTCAGGTTTTTCTTGCTTCTCTCTCCTGGCTGAGCTTTAGTTGATGTTGCAGGGCGCCCCCTGGTGACAGGTCTTTCTTCTGTTCGACTGCTCTTTCTAGATTTAACCTCCTTTCTTAACTTTGTAATCTGCGGCACAAAATAAGAAGACATTCAGATGACACTAACAAAAACTTTGAATAGAATAATAGTCATTGCTCACCTGTGATTTACAGTTACAGAGCTTACTGATCTGCTCTCCTTTCCTCTCCATTCTCAACAAAAGCCTCTCCTGCTCCCTTTGAAGCTTTTTTCTTTCCTCTTCAGAGATGCTCTCCTCCGCCTGCCTCATCAACTCAGCCTGCTGCCTATAATATATAAATATAGAGTGACCCTTTGTATTTTACCAAACACAAATGCAAACCAAGTACATTTGCAAGCTAGCTCACAAACTCATGAAGCGCAGCTCCTCCTGTAGGGCTTGTAGCAGCTCAGATAGCTCCTCTCCACCAGTGGAAGATGAGGTAGATGAACTTTCTGAATGGATGCTTGTTTCAGAGCGATTTGCATTGAGAGACAGGACATGTCTGTTGCAGAGATGAGGCTGATGTCGTTTCAGGAGGGACAATACTGCCTGAACGTTGGCTCTGACAGAGTGGCTGCTGTCCACTGACTAGGAACCAAGAGAGTTAAAGACAAACAGTCAAGCGCAGGGTGCGACAATTTCGATCATTTCATTCAAATCGTTAGCATGTATAAATGTAAAAGGTACCGTTCCAGTAACAAATGGTACATCTTTTAGGCTCAGTCGATAGTGAGGCTCTGTGTATTTTCTAGAAGACCTCTGTGAAGAAACATTTTAAAAATGAAAAGGAGAAAACAGAAAAAAAGTCAGTAATGCAACTAAACATATGTTGTAACGTCAGGTAATCAAGTGACCTATCTTTTTAGCTACAAGCTGAAGTTATTGCAAAAAGGCCAACATATGATGGCTGAAGTGTTGCTTTGGATAATGGCTGGTTAAAAGTGTTGGTTTTAAAAGCTTAAAAGAAATCCTTTATTGTGCAATAATTGAGGTGAGATTGGCACCGCGCAGAATGGAAGAGAGAGTTGCAGTTAGCATGCAAATCCATCCGTGAGAGTAGAAGCAAGAACTTTTTCACTGAAAGGTTGCAGTAAAGTGCAGCATCAAAGGATTCTTGAAAAACAAGCTCATTACCTTTGAGCTGGACTTCTTCTCTTTGGATTGTCTGACAGACTGATGTGGGGAAACTGACTGCAACAGGATCCTGTTGGCCTCCAAACCTGTCTGTAGCTGAAGTTTGTAAAAGAAAACATTAACTGAACAAAAAACTAAAAACAAACATAAGAAAAATAAGTGAAATTGTCTTTATGTGTGAAAGAAGGTTAGCTTGTCATTAAAAAAGAAATATCTGCTCTCTTTACAATCCAAAGAGCATTTTTACATTAATTCCAGCTAATAAAACTCATTTGGGGACACAAACATTACATGACATTTTTATAAAGAGAGAAAAAATAACTTATATTTAAGAAATAGCTACCAAAGATTTGTCCTTTTTTAAAACATCCACCATGCTTTTTACATTTTAAGGTTTTGAAATTGAGGAAAAAACTGGCAAAAAGAAAATAAATACGATTCCAATCGGTTGCTAAAAGTTTTTTAAATTCTGTTAAAAAACCCGAATTTTTTCCCACTGAAAAAAAAAAATCTGTTCCATTTAGAGCCAATTAATTTAGGAACTTCAACACAACTAGTCGGTGGAGAAAATGCTCATCAGAATATTTCCCGGCATTTTTTAATATATATACTTTGGGTTCCCCCAAAGATTAGCTGGCTTTTCATCATTTTTTTGTTGCCAAAGTGATGAAGAGCCATTTTCAAGTGTCTAAAGAGCCACTTTTGGCTCCAGAACCAAAGGTTGCAGACCTTTGCTAGAGGGTCAAAATAATAAAATTCTAAAAGAACAAGAAAGTAATCAAATATTACTACCTGGTTGGCCTTATCCTGAATGAGCCTCCTTTGATGTTCCTCCTCTAACAGCTTTCTCTCCAACTCACAGATCTTCATCTGAAATGCAAAACAGTCACCATCACTATGTAGCTGATAATAAGATGTTTGGTAACTTTCTGATAAAACTAAGGTCTATGTCAGGGGTAACCAATTAAAAATCTGTGGGGTCCGAATAAAGAAAATCATCAACCAGTAAAGGTCCGGAGACATTTTTCATTATAATCAGTTATTTTAAACAGAGTTTAACACTGAAATAAAATGAGGTGTTTATGCATCCATGTTATACATTGGATTTTTAAATAAATACATTTTTCCACTTTAAGATCTAAATAGTTTTTTGAAATAGAGAACAATAATCTTTCAGTTTGGTATATAGACAATTTCCTGATTTACATATTTTATAAAACACCTGAACTTTTTTTTTTCTTTATGGATTAATGAGAGCAGTGGTCTTTAGGCTGCCCTGCAAGGCTTTAAACCTGGGTTTGAATGGAGACAAAGCCATTCTCAAGTCATTCCAGGCTCATTCGTGAGCTTCTATACCTATTCCCAAAAACTAAGACCGTTTAATTAAATGATTGGATGCAAACTATTAGTACTTTAACATACCAGGAAACAGATTTCTCATCTCGATCAAAATATTTATTTTATACTAAGAGGCTTAAAAGTTTCATCAAATCCAGTTAAAACGCCCAAGAGCGCCTCTCATAACTTCAAAAGAAACTTCTCATCTCAGACAAATGAGGAGATTCTGAGTTTGGAAGCAGAGAACAAACATAGTTCATACGAACCATGTATGATCCTAGTTATCCACAAATCAACGAAGATATTTGGGGAGAAACTGAACATATGCAGGCTGGATGATGGTGGGGATTTTTTTTCATATGTCATAAAACATTAAGCATTCATTTCTGCATGTTTTTGCTCCTGAATTTAATAATAATATAACGCATGCTCTCCTTGAGCCCCGAGGAAGTCGAAGCAGAGCAAGACGGGAGGAAAAGCAGAGGCTTAAGGCTTAAGGCTTTGCTTTGCGCAGGAGGTCTGGAGTGGAGACGGAGGATGTGGGATTTTGGGGTACACAGGTACACTGTCGTCAGACAACATGCGATCATTTATAAATGTTTTAATTCAGGTTGGGTCCGGATCCAGATCACGGAATCTAACGTTACTCTCAATGTGTGTCTCCTTCACACTTACACATTTGTTGATACCTTATTCTCCTCCTAATGCAGTGGTTTTTGCTGCCCATTTTTTTTCTAAGGCCACCCCCAATGCACGGTCTCTACCCGGCCAGCCACCCCTGTGAAACTTTCCTGAAACCCCAACTGTTGACAACTTTTTATTCAAATTGTTGTTTCATTTCTATTTTCTGGTCAAATCAGACTATCATCAGGAGGCCATAATGTAGTTAGAGCAGTTCAGGTATGAATCAACGTAAAAAAAATTAATAAAAAAAGTCAAATTTTTGGGGCACTGCATGATGCTAAAGTCTCACTCTTGTGATTTTCCACCTCCTGTCCTGCAGCTATCTGTTTCTAAAGCTTTAAAGCACATCCACACTGTTTTTACTTCTACTTTACTACTACTGCAGACATAATCCTCACTTGTTTTTTGATAAAATATTACCCTTTATATCAGTGAAATATGTCGGTGGAACGACCAATGTCGGATATTTAATTTGAAAGCAAATATTGACGGCATGGCAATACAATTGAGCATCCCTTCTTAAAATACTTACATTTGTTTTGCTAATTGATTATTATGTTCATAATTATTTCAATTAATAATTGGATATCAAAAGGTTCCTTAAAGAAGATTTTTACAGAATTTAACCAGGGGAATCTAAAACTTTTTCACTTGAGGAGTTCTGGATAGAGCATACTGACAAAGGAGAATGTATTTTTTTTTTTCTTAAATGCAAAATGTTTACAAATGTTTTTACAATTTTCATATAATTACTGCTCTAATTGGGTTTCTCTATCAGCTAAATGCATGTTTTAGAGTCTCTATGCACCAGTTAATAATTAATTGATAACTAAATTAGTTTATGATTATTTCAATAATCGAGTAATCAATATTAATCCAATTCATTATTTCAGTTCTACTTAAAACTACAAACTTCTGTGAAAGTGGGATGCCACTTATGCATGCTTCAGAAACTCTCCTCCCTGATCATTTTTTTGTCGATCACACGCACCTCTGCATTTTTCTGTGTGCTGGTCAGTCTGAGATATTCCTGCTCAAGTTTTTCCAGCTTTTCCATTTGTGCATGCTCCAACTCTTCATCAGGCTGCTGACTACTTGCACCGACTCTCTCCATAAAAGTCTGCAAAAAAAGGTTTGGTCGTATCAGAATATTATGTGCATTTTAAAGCATCCAACTCTTAAGAGACACCAATAACTCCAAATTCACCTGCTGATTAAGCAGACTCCTCTTTTCTGTCCTGGTGCTGCGCAACATCCTCCTCATCTGCTCCAATTGTCTCTCCAGCTTCTCACAACGAGCCTCTGCAGCAGCAAGGTGGGTTATCAAGACTGCAAGTAAGAGACATTGATAAATGCAAGAAAATAAATAAAAAGATGTGAGAAATGAATATACTGTGTTAAACTAATCAAACTAGGATATTTGAAGATAATTATTTAATTTAAACCTTGGTTGCAGTTCAATTGGTCCCTTGCTTTCGGTTCTGTGTCCTTGTCATTTAGGAGTCTGTGTGCAGTACGGTTACTCTGCTGATCTCTTCGCCGCTCATCCTTCCCTAAAGTGCTGAGGCTGAGGTGTACTTGCTCTTTCTCAAGCTCCAGCCTCCTAATCTTCTCTTGAAGATTCCTCAAGGCGGATAAGATTGCTGAAAGAAATGGATCGACGTAAGCCCTAACAGCTAGATAGATTGGAGTAAAGACTGAATGGATACAATGATGCTCTAGCAGCTGAGACATTCAAGACGTGTGGGATCATATTGCACATGTAACCATGGAGACATAACACACTGTTTGAATGGAAACTTTTTCAACAAAAACATTACCTTCACTTCTACTCTCTGGAAAGGCTTTGGTGGGTAAAGGTGGATGATATGAGAACTCAGAGCGTATTTGGGGCGTGTGATGCACAAGAGTGTTGATTAGGGGTCTAGAAGCAGGGTAGGCTTTATATGATGGAAGGGACAAAGTGTCAGACACTATCCTACTTGACCCTTTAGCTGGAAGTGATGCCTGCAGAAAAAAAAAAAAAAAAACCCCAGCATCAATAAGTTATGAAGCGTCACTTCAAACAAGCTATTTCTGAGTTAGTAAATAAGATAAAATAACAAAAACAATAAAAATGCATCTCTCGATTTACCACTGAACTAAATATCAAATCTGACCACATGTTTTTCAAGGTGCAAGAGGGTTTCCTAAGAAGAAGCAACCACTGCTGGAAGAAACATTTAGTATTTAGCCAGCTGAGACAAAGTAGAGCTACCTTTTCTCGAGTGGACTCTGCTGCGGGTTTTTTCGAAAGTACCTCCATTAATACACAGCCGATACAGTCTGCCTCTTCCCAAGGAAGATAAGCGTTTAAAATATTAAAATAGTTTAAAGGTTGTTCTAACAACGCCTTTTTTTTTAATTAGGAGAAGCTAGCGAAGCTCTGCTGCTTGCTCAGCCTCCCTGTGTAAACGTGAAAAAAAGTGATCCACAAGAAGGCTCTCATTGGCGAGCGAATGATACACCGCTACATTGCGTTGCCCGGTAGAGGGGATACGTCAGTTACGCCGCCATGTTGCGAGTGGCGACTTCACTTCGGAGGCTGCAGTGTATGCTTTAAATTACCATAAACTGTACTTTAAAGCTGACGTTATTACACATCGAATAAAATGTAGTTTATTCAAATTAATGGATACTTAAATGGGTGCCTTTCCTATTTATTTACAAGTGGCCTAAAAGTAATACGGAAAAGCCAAAACTTTCAAAGGTCTAGACTCCTTTGCTTTTTATAAGGATGTTCTGTTAACTGTTAATAAAAACACAACGTCTAAGACTAGAATATAGGATCATATAAAAAAAAAAAGCAGAAATGATTGCATGATAAACACTAAATGGTCGCTTATTATCACTATGTATTTCAACTTCAAGTTAAATTTTTATTGATTTCTTCTTCTTCTTTGTTAGATTGGCAGATTGCAAACAACTTATAGGTGCATACTGCCACCTACTGTATATGAGTGTATAGCTCTATAGTTCCACCTATGTAAAAATAAAAACAATGCTTTATTAATAACTAAATTTTCCTCCCTATCTCCATCTGTCCCTAAAATTCCTTTAATACGCCATTATCTCCTTTTCCATATTTACTTTATTTGATTGATTTTGTTTGCGTCTTCAAATGTGGCCTACGATTTGCACGCAAATGTATCTTTGTCTCTATATTTTGATATGCGTTCTATGAGTGAAAGCATAATCGGTGCTCCTACTATAGTAAAACAAGCGAACCCCTAACTTAGCGGAAATGTAGTTATCTCCCCCAGAGAATGCTGTATATCCGGGTAGCGAGCAAACATGTTAGAAACTACAACAACCATGAGCATTGCGGGAAGGAGTGGACCCAGGTTTTGCGAGAGTTGCCAGGATTTTAAGGTTCAGAACTTCATGGGAGGTGGGTGGTTAGACTTGCATGTTTTGCGTACTCCAGCCTTACAAATAAATTTTTAAATATAGCTAGTGTCTTCGCGCACAAGCTTGTCCCACTATCCCACACCGTTTTCTGAGCTTTCTTTGCTGCTAACCCTCGTCCTCACGATAAATAACCATTCAGTTACACGTTAGCTATAGCTTTCACTCCAGTTTAGCAGTTTTAGGACCACATCGATTGAATTAACATCGAATACCTTTCTTTTAAGCTAAGTTCTTTTGTAGTTTTTACTTCATATGAAAAAAGTAACCTACTTTCTTAGAATTTGACAGTTCGTAGCCTTTTGTAGCTGTTTACAAAACTGTTTATTTTACTATTTGATGATTAAATCATATAAACTGCATTTAAGTACCAGGGTTGTTGCTTAAATGCCCATCTAAATACCATGTCTGCTTAATTACTGTCTCGAATAGCAGTTTATAAAGAGCTTTATAGTCAATATAGTTTAACAAATAGAACAGTAACAACCTCATTTCATCTGACTAAAATATAATATATTAAGTTATTCAAGGCAAAGTGTTGCTTTTAAATAAACATAGACATTGTTTCATGACAGCTGAATTACATTTTAAATATTCTGGCAGGAGTAGGTCTTAAGAAGCTCTATGCTTTAATATAGTTTGACGTATTTAAAATCTGTTAGCGTGTCAAAAATCTACATAAACTGGATTGTCTTTTTTTCTGTTCTCTACAGGTGAAGGTTTCTTTGATGTGCCAACTTTTGAATTGGTCCCTCAGCCTCTTCTATAGTCATGTCTTCAGAGAACACCTTGTAAGTCTTCCATTATGCACAGTTTCCCTTTATATTTTAGCAAATGTACAGGTGCTGGTCATAAAATTAGAATATCATGAAAAAGTAGATTGATTTCAGTAATTCCATTTAAAAAGTGAAACTTGTATATTATATTCATACATTACATACAAACTCATATATTTCAGATGTTTATTTTGTTTAATTTTGATGATTACAAATGACAACAAATGAAAATCTCAAATTCATCATATCAGAAAATTAGAATATTACTGAAAACCAATAAAAACAAAGGATTTATAGAAATGTTGGCCAACTGAAAAGTATGAACATGAAAAGTATGAGCATGTACAGCACTCAGTATTTAGTTGGGCCTCCTTTGGCCTGTATTACTGCAGCAATGCGGCGTGGCATGGAGTCGATCAGTCTGTGGCACTGCTCAGGTGTTATGATAGCCCAGGTTGCTCTAATAGTGGCTTTTAGCTCTTCTGAATTGTTGGGTCTGGTGTATTGCATCTTCTTCTTCACAATACCCCATAGATTTTCTATGGGGTTAAGGTCAGGAGAGTTTGCTGGCCAATTAAGAACAGGGATACCATGGTCCTTCAACCAGGTACTGGTAGCTTTGACACTGTGTGCAGGTGCCAAGTCCTGTTGGAAAATGAAATCTGCATCTCCAAAAAGTTGGTCAGCTGCAGGAAGCATGAAGTGCTCTAAAACTTCCTGGTATGTGGCTGCGTTGACCCTGGACCTCAGAAAACACAATGGACCAACACCAGCAGATGACATGGCACCCCAAACCATCACTGACTGTGGAAACTTTACACTGGACTTCAAGCAACGTGGATGAAGTGCCTCTCTTCTTTTCCTCCAGACTCTGGGACCTTGATTTCCAAAGGAAATGCAAAATTTACTTTCATCAGAGAACATGACTTTGGACCACTCACCAGCAGTCCAGTCCTGTTTCTCTTTAGCCCAGGCAAGACGCTTCTGACGCTGTCTGTGGTTCAAGAGTGGCTTGACACAAGGAATGCGACAGCAGAAACCCATGTCTTTCATACGTCTGTGTGTGGTGGTTCTTGAAGCACTCACTCCAGCTACAGTCCACTCTTTGTGAATCTCCCCCACATTTTTGAATGGGTTTTGTTTCACAATCCTCTCCAGGGTGCGGTTATCTCTCTTGCTTGTACACTTTTTTCGACCACATCTTTTCCTTCCCTTCGCCTCTCTATTAATGTGCTTGGACACTGAGCTCTGTGAACAGCCAGCCTCTTTAGCGATGACCTTTTGTGTCTTGCCCTCCTTGTGCAAGGTGTCGATGGTCGTCTTTTGGACAACTGTCAAGTCAGCAGTCTTCCCCATGATTGTGTAGCCTATAGAACTAGACTGAAAGACCATTTAAAGGCTTTTGCAGGTGGTTTGAGTTAATTAGCTGATTAGAGTGTGGCACCAGGGGCCATCAATTTTGAACCTTTTCACAATATTCTAATTTTCTGATATGATGAATTTGAGATTTTCATTTGTTGTCATTTGTAATCATCAAAATTAAACAAAATAAACATCTGAAATATATGAGTTTGTATGTAATGTATGAATATAATATACAAGTTTCACTTTTTAAATGGAATTACTGAAATCAATCTACTTTTTCATGATATTCTAATTTTATGACCAGCACCTGTATGTCCACAGCATGATGCTGCCACTACTGTGTATCATGGTGAGATCAGTGTTTGAGTTTCAGTTTAAATAAACTGCCCATGAACTTTTAGGCTTACAGCTTGCAAAACTGCTTTGCAATCCTGCTTTAAATTTTCACTCGAATTCCTCATCCTTCTGATGTGTTTTGTTTTAAGTTTGTTATGCCGTGAATTTACTACATTCCTCTAAAAAAACCTCAGCAATTTTATTTTATTGGTTGGCATTAGATTAAAGGAAGAAAAATATATAGGTCATTTATTTACTGCTAATTTTACAACAGATGTCTGTTTAAGAGACATATTCCCTCCAGCGTGTCTCAGGTTGTCCCCTGGGCATCCTCCCAGGGGGATGTGCCTGGAACAACTCCCTAGGAGGGCATGCAGGGTGCATTTGGGACAGACTTCCTAGCCCCCTCATCTGGCTCCTCTCAGAAATGCACTGATCTAGTTTTTCCCTCTATGATGCCTGGGCTAAACATATCTGCCGATATCCATTTCTGATGTAATTCAACAGTTGAATGATTAAATCATACATCTTGCCATGTGAGGGAAGGCTTTAGCCTTGACAAACATGGTTAGAAGGAGGTAACAATTAACACAGATACAAATGCAATTTATATTTTTTATTGACAAATAGGCAGCAAAAAGAAATAAATGACAGTTCCATGTTAAGTGAATCTAGCCACCCTGCAAAGGAAGCTCATTTTACCAGCTTGCATTCGGGATCTTTTTCCTTCAGTCATGAGCAAAATCTCAGGGTAATAATGTAGACTGACTCATAAATGAAGAGGTTTGCCTTTTGGCTCAGCTCTCCCTTTCCCACATCAGAGCAGTGCAGTGATTAAAGCCACGGCCACACCTATCCATCTATCAATCTCCTGCTTAGTTCTACTCTCACTCCAGGACCCAAAGATACTTGAACTTCGCAACTTGAGGAAGAAACTCTCCTTCAATCTTAAGAGGGCAAGCCACCTATTTCCTGTTGAGAACTATGAACATGATTCCCATGCCGGTTGTTTCACCCTCTGCTGTGAACCGCCCCAGTGCGTGCTGTAGGTCTTGGCAGGGGAGGCATCAGAATCAAATTATCTGCAAACAGCAGGGAGGAAATCCTGTTAATAACATTTGTGGACAGGACCGATGAGGGAGGGCAGCCCTGCTGGAGTCCAACATGCAACAGGGGTCTCTGTGGACCAGACTCCTGATCCGCTTGTAGAGAGATGGAATGGTCCTAACTAAAGGGCCCAAGGCCTCCGGGAGTGCCTCCCACAAATGCCTTCTCCAGTTCCAATTCTTAAGATACCTTCAGGTTAATTTCATTTTTCTAACTGGTAATAGTTGAAGCAGTACCACTGAATGAGTCTTATTTTAACAGTACAATCTGAACTGTGCCCCTAGCTTAGCAGTAATCTCACAGTAATACTTAGCAGTTATACTTCTATAGGGAACCATTTTTATAAAATTAACACTTTAGTTTGACTTGACGAGCTGTAGTTTTTAAATAGATTTGTCTTATTTTTGTAGGGATGACGAGGACACATTCAAGAT